TCAAGTTTTCGAATTTTTCAAATGTTTTGATTTCTTAATTAATCGATTTTTCGACTTCCCGGTTTTAGATTTTCTGTTTTTCAATTGTCGTGTTTTCAAATTTTCGATTTGACATTTATAAACTGTCGATTTTTCAATCAATCGATGTTTTGATTTTTCCATTTCTTGACTTTCGAGGGTTTCGATATTCCTGTTCTTCATTTCTTTAATTTTTCGATTTTTCATTTTTTAGTTTTTTTAAGGTTTAAATTTTTCGACTTCACTTTTTGGATATTTCAGTTTTCGGATTTTTCAGGTTTGCATTTTTTAGTTTTTCTTTCATTTTTCAGTTTTTCGATATTTCAGTTTTGGGATTTTTCAATATTTTGATTCTTCGACTTTTCGATTTTTAAAATTTTAGATTTTTTAATTTTTAAAATTTTAGATTTTTTGAGATCTCGATTTTTCATTTCAGTTCTTCGATTTTTGAATTTTTCAAGTTTTCGGAATTTTTTTAAGGCTTGTAATTAAATGATAAGTATAAAATGCATTTTTTTTTTAGGTAACTTAAATAGTTTGTTACGTACATTAATAAGTTTGTTCAGTAGAAATTGTAAGTATTAAAATAAAACCTGACCAGTACAATGTGCAAGTATTTAATTGTGCTGTGTTTAGTAAAAATAATAGATGTTCAGTAGAAATGCTATAGTGTCTGGTTGACCTAACTGGCGATGGAACGTTTTAAGGAAAACCCATATTTAGTAAAAAATAGTAATATATAAGTACATAGTAATTGTAACAATAGGTAGGAAACAAATATTTTTATTGGAAAAATAACAAAGTCCTATACATTGTTCTTTATAAAAATTAACATAAAATTGTAAGAAAAAGAATAGATCACATTTAAATATAGAATACACTTTCATGTATAAAAAAAAATAACAATAAACAGTAAAATAATAATAATAACAATAATAATAATTCTTCATTGTTTCAATTATAACAAATAAATGATTCTATATAATAAAGATTAACATGCATATTCTAAAAAAATAATCAGGTTATGTATCATGTGTGGGTGTTAACTATAAAGAACATCATAATTGTCTAACGAACCTGTTCAATTTATACTGAACGTCTATGATTTCTACTGTACATCCAACATTTTAACTAAGCTTTCGTTATTTTTACAGGACAATAGTTTTATTTACTGAACAAAATTAATAATATACATAACTTCCATGATAAAAACATATCGTTAAAATTAGTTACTGTAACAAAAAATTTGTTATATGACGTTTATATTTTCCACTGAACAATTGTATAATATGTCGGTAAAGGTAACTTGTCGAAAAAATATTATACTGAGCAGAATATTTTTACCGTTTTTTAAATGTTTCGATTTCTTAATCTTTTGATTTTTCGACTTCCCGGTTTTAGATTTTCTGATTTTCAATTGTCATTTTGTCAAATTTTCGATTTTTCAATTAATCGTTGTTTTGATTTTCCCATTTCTTGACCTTCGAGTGTTTCGATTTTCCTGATCTTCAATTCTTTAATTTTTTGATTTTTCAATTTTTCGATTTTTTAAGGTTTCTATTTTTCACCTTCACTTTTTTGATTTTTCGATTTTTCAGTTTTTAGATAGTTTTAGGAGCTTTCAATATTTTAATTCTTCGGCTGTTCTATTTTTGATTTCTGGGTTTTTTCGATGTGTCTACCTTTTTACTTTTTCGATTTTTCAGTTTTTGGATTTTTAAATTTTAGATTTTTCAATCTGTTGATATTTTAATTTTTCAATATTTCTTAATCTTTTGATTTTTCGACTTCCCAGTTTTAAATTTTCTGTCTTTCAATTGTCGTTTTTTCAAATAATAGATGTTTTCATTTTCCGATTTCTTGACTTTAGAGGATTTCGATATTCCTGTTCTTCAAATCTTTAATTTTTCGATTTTTCAGGTTTTTGATTTTTTATTTTTTTAAGGTTTCAATCTTTCGACTTCACTTTTTGTATTTTTCTATTGCTCAATTTTTGGACTTTTTAGGTTCTCACTTTTTGGATATTTCAGTTTTCGGATTTTTCATGTTTTCCATTTTTCAGTTTTTCTTTCATTTTTCAGTTTTTCGATATTTCAGTTTTGGGATTTTTCAATATTTTGATTCTTTGACTTTTCGATTTTTGGTTTCTGGAGTTTTCGATGTGTCGATTTTTCAATTTTCGATATCTTAATCTTTCGGTTTTTCGACTTCCCGGTTTTAGATTTTCTGTTTTTAATTGTCGTTTTAAATTTTTCGATTTTTCAATTTTTTGATTTCCTGATTTAGTTTCCCATTTTTAGTTTTTCTTTTATTTTTCAGTTTTTCGATATTTCAGTTTTGTGATTTTTCAATATATCGATTCTTCGACTTTTCCATTTTTGACTTGTCGATGTGTCGATGTTTTTACTTTTTTGATTTTTCAAATTTTCGATTTTTAAATTTTCGAGTTTTTAATTTTTAAAATTATAGATTTTTCGAGATCTCGATTTTTCATTTCAGTTCTTCGATATTTTAATTTTTCAAGTTTTCGAATTTTTAAAATGTTTCGATTTCTTAATCTTTTGATTTTTCGACTTCCCGGTTTTAGAGTTTCTGTTTTTCAATTGTCATTTTGTCAAATTTTCGATTTTTCAATTAATCGATGTTTTGATTTTCCCATTTCTTGACCTTCGAATGTTTCGATTTTTTAAGGTTTCTATTTTTCGATTTCACTTTTTTGATTTTTCGATTTCTCAATTTTTTAATTTCTCAGTTTTTGGACATTTCAGTTTTGGAATTTTTCAGTTTACTTGTTCAATTTTTCGATCTTACGATTTTGCAGGTTTTTGATTTTTTCAATTTTTCGGGTTTTTAGGGATTTCGATATTTCAACTTCACTTTTTTGATTTTTCGATTCTTTGGACTCTCAATTTTTGGATATTTCAGTTTTGGGATTTTTCAGTTTTTCCATTCGTCAGTTTTTCTCTCATTTTTCAGTTTTTAGATATTTCAGTTTTGGGATTTTTCAACATTTCTGTTCTTCGACTTTTCCATTTTTGACTGCTGGATTTTTCAATGTGTCCATTTTTTTACTTTTTTGATTTTTTAAATTTTAGATTTTTTAATTTTTAAAATTTGAGATTTTTCGAGATCTCGATTTTTCATTTCAATTCTTCGATATTTCAATTTTTCAAATGTTTCGATTTCTTAATCTTTTGATTTTTCCACTTTCCGGTTTTAGATCTTCTGTTTTTCAATTGTCATTTTGTCAAATTTTCGATTTTTTTATTTTTCAAATTTGACTTTTATAAACTCTCAAATTTTCGATTTTTCAATTAATCGATGTTTTGATTTTCCCATTTCTCGACCTTCGAGTGTTTCGATTTTCATGTTCAATTTTTTGATTTTTCGACTTCCAGGCTTTAGATTTTCTGTCTTTTAATTGTCGTTTTGTCAAATTTTCGATTTTTCAATTAATCGATGTGTTGATTTTCCCATTTCTTGACCTTCGAATGTTTCGATTTTCCTGTTCTTCAATTCTTTAATTTTTTGATTTTTCAGCTTTTTGATTTTTCGATTTTTTACGGTTTCTATTTTTCGCCTTCACTTTTTTGATTTTTCGATTTTTCAGTTTTTAGATATTTCAGTTTTAGGAGTTTTCAATATTTTAATTCTTCGGCTGTTCTATTTTTGATTTCTGGGTTTTTCGATGAGTCTACCTTTTTACTTTTTCGATTTTTCAATTTTTGGATTTTTAAATTTTAGATTTTTCAATCTTTCGATATTTTAATTTTTCAATATTTCTTAATCTTTCGATTTTTCAACTTCCTGGTTTTAGATGTTCTGTTTTTCAATTTTTCGATTTGTTAATTTTTCATTCCCGATTTATCGAGATTTGATTGTTCAGGTTTCGATTTATCAGTTTTTCAATTTTTTATTTTGGCTTATTTCGGTTTCTCAGTTCTTCCAGTTTTCCATTTTTTTGTTTTTTCGCTTTTCCAATTTTTCAACTTTCAACTTTTTGTTTGTCGATTTCTCGTTCTTTGGATCTTTCAATCTCTCAATTTTTCACTGTTTCGAATTTTTAAGTTTTTTGATTTCTCGATTTATCGAGATTTGGATTTTTCGATATTTTGATGAGTCAATTTCTCAATTTATAAATTGTTCAGTTTTTAACTTTTCGATTTTTCGATTTTGGCTTATTTCGGTTTCTCAATTAGTGGACTTTTCGACACCACGATTTCTTGATCTTTTGATTTTTCGATTTTTCAGTTATCCGATTTTTTAAATTTGGGAGTTTCGATTTCTCGATTTTTCGTTATTCGGTTTTTAAATTTTAGATTTTTGAATTTTACATTTTTTCGATTTTCTGATGTTTTATTTTTCGATTTTCAGTTCTTCGATATTTCGATTTTTCAATGTTTCGGTTTTACGATTATTTTAATTTTTCATTTTTTTTTTCTCACTGTTAATATCACATAGTGTATCGAAAACAACCACAAAAATTGTCACTAAAAACATTTAAAACTTCATACAAAATAGAACACAGTGTTTCCAAAACATTTTCCCGAAAAAAATCCATTGGGTTATTAAGATTTCAACAATATTCTTAGTTTAAGACGTTTTGCTAGTATAAAACACAAATAATTAATTCCTAGTTAAACAAAATATGTAAAATCATCTAAATATGTACCAAAAATATTCACTTCGTCGTTATAAAAACCGACCAAACAACTATTTCCCGCAGAAATTATAGTCCAAACCAACCAAATCGCTTCTGAACGCTTAGAGTCGACATTGGCCTGAGCGCTCACTGGTCTGTGGATCAAACAAGTTCTCAGGCGACGAATTGTAGTCAACCAAGTTTTTTTATTGCCATCGACTATTTAAATTTGGCGCTTGTCTCACCTCTGTTATTACATTATTATAAATCACCATTCGAGAATAACAATAACACAATATTTTTATTATTTCACACTCAATAATCTTAATCTCTGTTCCAGAATACATGGCCGAAAATATCAAAGCCGAACTACGGAGGTTACAAAGGCGCAAGCAGTTGCAGTACAGCATGGAAAATTCAGACGGAAGCAGTTCGGGTGGAGAGAACACCGAATCTCCTTCTCGCTCCGAAAGAGCACTATTTACATTTAAACAGGTCCGTATAATAACGCGAAAAGCCCGATTTATTTGATTCTCGCTGGATCCTGACGCCTACGTACGCCACGTACGTGTCATTATCTCCTTATTTTATTTTTCATTCCTGGCGTGTTTCAGGTTGGTCTGATCTGTGAACGTATGCTCAGGGAACTCGAGTCTGAAATTAGAGAAGAATACGACAACGTGCTTACGGGAAAGCTCGCAGAACAATACGATGCCTTCGTTAAGTTCACGTACGATCAAATACATAAGAACTACAGCACGGCCCCACCTAGCTGTAAGTACACGATTTATTGCTTCGTGTGGGTGGTGGGAGTGAAAGGTTGAGCGAATGAGTTGTGGGATAGCGGATAGAAGGGATTTTTTGACGGGAATGTAGTTCGCGGAGTGGTTTTTACTTCCCGAGCGTAAGCAAAGGAAGTATTGTAATCGAGTCCGTCGGCCGACTCTCTACTTTTACGTTTTCTCGATCTTTCATGACCCCTAGAAGACGAAGAAATAGGTCTCCCATTTCCGTCTGTCTGTCCGTCCGTCTGTCCGTCTGTCCGTCTGTTCGTCTGTTGTCACGGATTATTATTAGACAGATAATCTCCGAAAGTACTCGACCGATTGTTGTGAAATTTTGTACTTATATTAAGAATATCATGTAGATGGTAAAACGCTAACCAAAATTTGTCGAATCATCCCCACCACTAAAGCGATGACGTCACTTCAAAATTGTACATAGTAAATGGGTTTTCAATTGTATAAAATAACATAGTCCTACACATGTAGTTTACAACTCTGAATCGACTTTTCACCCGAAACGTCCAGATTTTTGGAAAAAAAATCAAAATTATAAAACAACATTTTGAAATTTAATTTTTAATCTGCTAACCAGAATGCTTTGAAATGTTGCAGATGTTTTAAGGCTATAAAGGGCATCATAAATCTTTAGTCAAAAAATATTTGCTTATCCCCTCCAAAAACTTGATGACGTCAGCTCAAAAGTTTGTGGAATAAATCATATCTAAAATGTACAAAATATGATGAGTCTGTACTTGTGAACTATCACTCCATTAATATTTTTTGGATTTGCATATACAGGGTAACTCAAAAAAATTAATGAATGCGTAAATATATTTTATTGATTTAATCAGGAACTACAAAACCGAATGCTCTGAAATCTTGCAGATGTTTTAAGGTCATAAAGAGCATAATAAATGTTTAGTCAAAATATATTTGCTTATCCCCTCCAAAAACTTGATGACGTCAGCTCGAAAGTTTGCCGAATAAATCATATCTAAAATGTACAAAATATGATGAGCCTGTACTTGTCATTTATCACTCCATTCATATTTTTTGGATTTGCATATACAGAGTGACTCAAAAAAATTAATGAATGCGTAAATTTATTTTATTGATTTAATCAGGAACTACAAAACCGAATGCTTTGAAATCTTGCAGATGTTTTAAGGTTATAAAGAGCATAATAAATTTTTAGTCAAAATATATTTGGTTATCTTCTACAAAAAACTGATGACGTCAGCTCAAAAGTTTTCCGAATAAATCGTATCTAAAATGTACAAAATATGATGAGTCTGTACTTGTGATTTATCATTCCATTCATATTTTTGGATTTGCATATGCAGGGTGACTCAAAAAAATTAATGAAGGCGTGAATTTATTTTATCGATTTAATCAGGAATTACAAAACCGAATGCTTTGAAATCTTGGGAATATTTTAAAGTTATTATAAGCATGATAAACTTTTGTTCAAAATGTATTTGTTCATCCCTCCTAAAAAAATTGATGACGTCACCCTTAAATTTTGCTGAATAAATCCTATCTAAAATGCAAAAAATATGATGAGTTTGTACTTGTGATTTATCATTCCATTCATATTTTTTAGATTTTCTTAAGAGGTGGTTCAAAAAAATTAATGAAGTCAATTTATTTTATTGATTAAATTAAAGGCAACACTTATTATTAGTATTACACCCCAACCAACCCAATTTGGTAGACACAAAATTTGTTAAAGGAAAAACTCGGTTGAAACATCAGGGTAGCACGCTTATTTACATCGACTTTAACATTACAGACCTGCATTTGTTTTATGCGTTCACTTGATTCCGCGAATGTGAAATAGACATGTTTATAATCAACCAATTGTGAATTTCACCGTCAAGAATTAAAATAAAACCCAATGTTTTATATAATAAGCGGAAGTCGAAGCAATAAAACCGACGGTCGTTTTGTTTACAGTTTCTGTGTTTGGCTCTCACGTATGCTGTTACGCCTGTCATCTTAAATTAACAATGTTTATACATACACGATTTTCAGTTGCCTCTGATACGTAGGTATACGTGAGTAAATTGTTTCGTTATTTTATTGATTATTACAAATCAATATTCAAACGACCCAATTCATTTTCCCGAAAATTTGAGAATATAATAATTTTATTCTTAGTATTACACTACATCTATCCCAACTGATATACGTGTCCTTGCAAAAATGTTGATGACGTCATCGCAATTTTTTTTTAAATTCCCACTACAAAAATGTAATGAGAAAAAAAACACAATAGGCATGCAGTCGTCAAGTTTCCGACAGCGAGGGAAGTACTGTCTAAACTCTTTAGACCAATTTTTTTTGGATTATGTTGTGCACTGAAATTACAAAAATGACATCAGTGGTGCAAGCAAATTCCAAAAACGGTGTAGGTATGTTAATTGGTGATTTGAAATAAACGAAAAAAAATCGGGTGGTCAGAGGGTTATGAGTGGACATTTGCTATTCATTGAATTTTTCAGTGACTACAAGGTTTACAACTTTCGATAACAATAAGTTTCTTTGAACTGACACACATTTAATTTTTGTTGACTCATTAGGAACGGTTGTTCTAGCTTTTGATAACTTTTTTAAATAATTATGATAATTTATTACTTTTTTTATAAAATTAGCGTCAAGATTATGCGAAATATTCATAAGAGAAAAGTGCCACACTTCGCTCAATTTTTTGTGTGCAAATATTTGTTATTAATATTCCAAACGGAATTAAACTAAGACAACTTTTTAACTTAATTGGATAACTTATAATAAACCTGATGTTTTGTAAGAGTTGAAAAGCTCACTTCACAGTTTTGTATGATTTTCACTTTTAGGTCTTTAGTTGTATCCACAGATTGTTTAAAAATAATTTTTCAAAGTCGGGAACAAGAAATAATGTAGAGGTGTCAAATCAGGTGATCGAACCGTCGCCATAAAATTCCCTTAGAAAGTTCAAACGTGTTTGAGCTGTTGCGCCGTCATGCTGAAAATATCCGGTCTGCAATTCTTCAGGAAGAAATATCACACTAAACTCCAATTTTTGTGGTTGTAATGGCATATGTTCTAAGAAACGAGCTATGTAATTTTTTGGCATAATGGGCAGGGAAAATTAAATCACAAATTAAAAAAAATCACACACAAAAAGTTAAAAAAAAATAGCTGTTTTTTATTTTAAGTTTTGTCGATTTTTATAGATAATTTCGTGAACTACTTCACCGATTGTTGTCAAATTTTAGATGCATGTTACGAATATTTGATGACGTCACCTCAAAATTTTGTACATTAAACGTTATTTAAATTTTATAGATTAGTATACGACTCCCACGTAGAAAGACGATTGTTTTAATAATTTTTTTAAATCACCTTTTTCAGATGTTTGATGTGACTCATAGTTTTTATTAGAAAGAGCAGAAATTTTGAAAGTTTGGAGTAGTATACAAATAATCAAATAAATTTGTTTTGTACATTTCTTTAATGAATATTATGATGAATTACATTTTGACAACTGCAGCATAAAATATAAATGTAAAACCGAACCGTAAAATTTATAAACAAAATTATTTGTTTTAATTTATATTCAAAATTTTGAGGTTATGATAGCATGTTGTTGAAGTCTTCGTTGATTTCCAAATAGTTCAAATTTAAACCCAAAAATGGCGCTGCTGTAAAATTCAGAATTTTTGAGATTTTCAAGGAAGGCTTGACCATTAAATAACCTATATTTTAAATGTTTGTCTAATTAAAACGGCTAACAACAAAAAAAAAAACACCAAAAAACACGTTTTAAAACGAAAAAAAAAACAAATCCAATTAATAAAAAATTGGTCGAATGTTATTTCAACAGAACTTTCCTCGCCTCTGAAGTGCAGCCAAATAAATCACACTTCTCTGAAAAATTATAATTTTTTTTGCGATTTTTGTTTTCTGATAACCTCTATAACGTAAAAACCAGTGGCGTAAATAACGCTCCCGCAGCTTCTTTGACTTAAATTTTTCATTTTTTTTTGTTCCTTCATTTTTTCGAGTTTTCAAGTTTAAAATTTTCAATTCAATTTCTAGATTTTGCAATTTTTCGATTTGATGTTCTCAAGTTGTCAATTTTTAATTTTTCCATGTGCAATTTTTCGTTTCAGTTTTTTATTTTCTTTATTTTTACAAAACTACGTATATAAAAAAAACTAAGCCCCACCCACCCGCCCCGATCCTAATTCGGGCGAGTTTTTCATTCCTAATCAGACCCTTTTAAGAATATATTTCAGATGATAACTTCTTGTAGAGAAATCAGGATTTTGCATACTAACCTCCGCTCTTTGGCTCACGATGAATAAAAGCATTCATCACAATTGAGAAGGGGTGGGTGGGTGGGGCTTATATTTTTTCCATTTTTTCTTAATTCAAAAATTAACCCCCACCCACCCGCCCCGATCTCAATTGTGATGAGTTTTTCATTCCTAATCAGACCGAAGGGCGGAGTTTAATTCTAAGATTTCTCTAAAATATTCTACCCTTTTAAAAACACTTCATATGGTAATTTCTTGTAGAAAAATGATGATTTTGCAAACTAAACTCCGCCCTTCAGCTCACGATGAATAAAGCATTTATCACAATGCAGAAGGGGTGGGCGGGCGGGGCTTATAATTTGTCCATTTTTTCTTAATATAGGAAGTTTTTTCTTTTCCCAACAAGACACTGACAACATGTTTAATTATCAAAGAAAACTCTACATACATTAAAAAAAATTAAGCCCCACCCACCCGCCCCGATCTCAATTGTGATGGGTATTTCATTCCTAATCATACCGAAGGGCGGAGTTTAATTGTAACAACAATATTTCTCTAAAAAATTCTACACTTTTTAAAAACAGTTCAAATGGTAATTTCCTGTATAGAAATGAAGATTTTACAGACTAAACTCCGCCCTTCAGCTCATGATGAATAAAACATTCATCACAATTGAGAGGGGGTGGGGGGGGGGGGGGCGTATATTTTGTCCATTTTTTCTTAATATACGGAGTCTTCTTTTCCCAACAAAAAACTGACAACATGTTTAAGTATCCTGTTGTTGAAAGAAAATTCTATATACTAAAAGAAAAAGAAATAAATTAAGCCCCACCCACCCGCCCCGATCTCAATTGTGATGAGTTTGTCATTCCTAATCAAACCGAAAGGCGGAGTTTAATTGTAACATCAATATTTTTCTAAAAAATTCTACTCTTAAAAACACATTTCATATGATAATTTCTCGTAAAGAAATGAGGATTTTGCAAACTAAACTCCGCCCTTCAGCTCATGATGAATAAAACATTCATCACAATTGAGAAGGGGTGGGTGGGCGGGGCTTATATTTTGTCTATTTTTTCTTAATATACGAAGTTTTCTTTTCCCAACAAGAAACTGACAACATGTTTAATTATCCTGTTGTTGAAAGAAAATTCTATATACTAAAAGAAAAAGAAATAAATTAAGCCCCACCCACCCGCCCCGATCTTAATTGTGATGAGTTTGTCATTCCTAATCAAACCGAAGGGCGGAGTTTAATTGTAACATCAATATTTTTCTAAAAAGTTCTACTCTTAAAAACACATTTCATATCATAATTTCTCGTAGACAAATGAGGATTTTGCAAACTAAACTCCGCCCTTCAGCTCATGATGAATAAAACATTCATCACAATTGAGAAGGGGTGGGTGGGCGGGGCTTATATTTTGTCTATTTTTTCTTAATATACGAAGTTTTCTTTTCCCAACAAGAAACTGACAACATGTTTAATTATCCTGTTGTTGAAAGAAAATTCTATATACTAAAAGAAAAAGAAATAAATTAAGCCCCACCCACCCGCCCCGATCTTAATTGTGATGAGTTTGTCATTCCTAATCAAACCGAAGGGCGGAGTTTAATTGTAACATCAATATTTTTCTAAAAAGTTCTACTCTTAAAAACACATTTCATATCATAATTTCTCGTAGACAAATGAGGATTTTACAAACTAAACTCCGCCTTTCAGCTCATGATGAATAAAACATTCGTCACAATTGAGAAGGGTTGTGTGGGCGGGGCTTATATTTTGTCCATTTTTTCTTAATATACGAAGTTTTCTTTTCCCAACAAGAAACTGACAACATGTTTAATTATCCTGTTGTTGAAAGAAAATTCTATATACTAAAAGAAAAAGAAATAAATTAAGCCCCACCCACCTGCCCCGATCTCAATTGTGATGAATTTGTCATTCCTAATCAAACCGAAGGGCGGAGTTTAATTGTAACATCAATATTTTTCTAAAAAAATCTACTCTTAAAAACACATTTCATATGATAATTTCTCGTAGAGAAATGAGGATTTTGCAAACTAAACTCCGCTCTTCAGCTCATGATGAATAAAACATTCATCACAATTGAGAGGGGGTGGGTGGGCGGGGCTTATATTTTGTCCATTTTTTCTTAATATACGGAGTCTTCTTTTCCCAACAAAAAACTGACAACATGTTTAATTATCCTGTTGTTGAAAGAAAATTCTATATACTAAAAGAAAAAGAGATAAATTAAGCCCCACCCACCCGCCCCGATCTTAATTGTGATGAGTTTGTCATTCCTAATAAAATCGAAGGGCGGAGTTTGTCATTCCTAATAAAATCGAAGGGCGGAGTTTAATTGTAACATCAATATTTTTCTAAAAAATTCTACCCTTTAAAAACATATTTCATATGATAATTTCTTGTAGAGAAATGAGGATTTTGCAAACTAAACTCCGCCCTTCAGCTCACGATGAATAAAACATTCATCACAATTGAGAAGGGGTGGGTGGGCGGGGCTTATATTTTGTCCATTTTTTCTTAATATAGGAAGTCTTCTTTTCTCAACAAGAAACTGAAAGCATGCTTAACTTTCCAGTTATTGAAAGAAAACTATATATTAAAAAAAAAACAAATTAAATTTGTTTTAAAGTTATAGGAAAGATTTTAAATGAAAATGTGTTCGTTTCAGCCTTTCCAAAAAATTATGACGTAATATTAGAATTCTGCCAAATAAAAATTTTATAAAATAACATACATCTGAATGTGTAATTTATGAATCCGTGTTGAGTTTTTACCCTTTGCATCCAGGTTTTTTGAAAAAAAAAACAACATTGTATAACAATATTTTTGTTAGGAAGGGCTGAAATTTTGGAGTGGTATACAAATAATCAAATAAATTTGTTTTATAAATCTCTTTAATGAATATTATTATCAATTCCATGTTGATTTTTCGATTTGAGTTTCTCAAGTTTTCAATTTTAATTTTTCCATGTGCAATTTTTCGTTTCAGTTTTTTATTTTCTTCATTTTTACAATTTTTCAATTTTTCGGTTTGCAATTTTTCAAGTTTTTTTCTTTCTTCAATTTTCCTTATGTAACTCATTAAAATTTTAGATTTTGAAGTTTTTCATTTCTTCAGTTTTTCGAAAAAAAAAAAAACTAGAAATACAAACTATTCTATGTGACTTACATTATCTATCTCTTGTTCTTTGCGCCAAAAAATTGTTGAAACTACGTACATAAAAAAAACAAAAACTGAGCCCCCTCTCAGTTGTGGTGAGTTTTTAATTTCTAATCAGACCGAAGGGCGAAGTTTAATTGTAACATCAATATTTCTCTAAAAAATTGTACCCTTTTAAAAACATTTCATATGGTAATTTCTTGTAGAGAAATGAGGATTTTGCAAACTAAACTCTGCCTTTTAGTTCACGATGAATGAAGCATTCATCACAATTGAGACGGGGTGGGTGGGCGGGGCTTATATTTTGTTCATTTTTTTCTTAATATAGGAAGTCTTCTTTTCCCAACAAGAAACTGAAAACATGTTTAACTATCCTACAGTTGAAAGCAAACTCTACTTATTAAAAAAACATTGTTTTAAAGTTATAGGAAATATTTTAAAAGAAAATTTTGTTCGTTTAAGGCCTTCCCAAAAAATTATGACGTCATCTTAGAATTCTGTGAAATAAATGTTCTTTAAATTTTATAAAATAACATACTCGTGGATGTGTAATTTATGAATCCGTGTTGAGTTTTTACCCTTAGCATCTAGATTTTTGGGAAAAAAAATCAGCATTGTATAACAGTATTTGACAATTTAACTTTGGCATTGCCAAAAACCGAATGCTGTGAAATCATGCAAATATTTTAAGATAATTTGAAACATAGTAAACCCTTAATCAAAATTTGTCCGTTATCTTACATTTTTGCCGAGTGTCTTCAAATTCTACGTTGAGGACACAAAATCAGCCAAATTTCATTTTCTTTTAACCGCTGAAGCTTGTAATCTGAACGTGCTAAGCGCTTAAAAAACACTCTATTCCACTTGAAACAAAAAAGTTGACGTCATTTGTGGAAAAACCACCACAGATACATATAATTCCGATGATGTAGTCATTTCATTGATTTTTTATTTCAGTTAATCGTTTCAAAATTCAAACTTATATGTTTTCAAATATCCTAAATATTACAGTAAAACCAGTTTACAAGAATGTCGTTATTCAATTTTTTTTAAAGCACTGAACTGTATAAACTGTATAAAGGATTTACATATCAAATGAAACATCACTGAAAATATAAAAAAGGTTCTACTCAACGCCCTTAAAAAATATTCCGTTCTGGTTGAAAAGGAACAGTTGATGTCATTTCCGACTGAACGGAGGACAATATGATTAGTGTTAGTGGTATATGCGAATTTGTCAACCAGGATTTTATTGTACAAGGTAACACTACATAATGTTATTGTATGATTTTATTTTGTTTTTATTCCTCATAATTAATACAACATATTTGTGGAAGAAAAAAGTATCTTCGAACACCAAAATAAAAAAAAATCAGTTGTTAACGTCAACAGAAATGAGTATTCCATTAGTAAGTCACGTGTGGAATATCCTGTAGATTTAAAAGTCTAATATTTCGAATTTGTGAGTAAAGTTGTGCACGTTTTTATCACAAACGTGTGTATTAACCAAGCAAATAAACCGCTTGAGTGACGAGGTGCAAATTAAATTTTTTTCAGAAAATGGTAGAATTTACGTAAAATTAAAAAAAAAACGATGTTTGGTTTAACTATGGAAATTTTTACACTTTAATGATGACTTCTGTCAATTCGTGCTGTATAGGCTGCACAGCAATAAAATAAAAGATATTTGTGTAATAAATTACAATTTTAAAACCGATTTCAGAATATTTAATTTTACATATTTGTATTTATGGTATACAATAGCAGGTTTTGTTTACCGTCCAATTAATGTGCATGGCGTCGAACTTCCTTTGTACAGTGCTTAAATTCAATCCCAGAAGCAAAAATATTGATGTTTTCGTTTGAACTTTTTTATCACAATCGAATTTACATTGAAAGAGAAAAAATTCGCAGAACAATACTTCAACTTGAAATTTGCATGCTTTGGAAAATCCAGTTCATCAATATCCAAATAAGTTACCAACAAGTCGTTGATTAAAAGCTTCAGTTAATAATCACTCTGGTTTCGAAGGAATTAGTAGGTCGACTAATCACTCGCTAAATTACCACTTAATTATGTGGTACATTTGGCAGAAAATTTAATTAAGCGCTTGTATAGAAGAGCATTAATTTTTAATAATTACTTTGTGCTTTAATTTTTTTATTGATCATGGAAATTACCCGCAATTATGTGTAATAATCACCGGCTTTGACATTGACCGAAGCACAATTCTAGTGATGATAATTACATAATTATGTCATGTTTCCAGTAATTTAATCGGGAAAGTAACGTGCAGATGCGGTAAACAGAAAAAGTAGTGTTATTTTTAACCCGATTGTTGAGTAATTTGCGCTAAAATATGTTGTACATATTTTTTATGGTAACAAAATGTTACAGTTGGAGAACTACCGTACCGATTGCTTGGAAATTTTGAATGCGTGTGGGTTATTGTTTTCGGATTTCCTGTAATTGGTTAATTTTGTTCCAGATTTATCGTAAGGAAGAATCTGACATTGGCAGCGTAGCAGCGGTGTCTCGCAAACTAGCCACTAAACAGTCGTTAACTATCGTTTATACACTCTACAAAATAATAAAGTCGTCATCAGCAGGATGCCTTAGAACATAACCCGCTCTCCTTGCCGGCAAATTTCTTTTGTACATATTTATAATATTATATCTTTATAACATATTTTAAGATCATCTGTATTATCTTATTGGAATTGAGACATATAATTTTCTCTGTATATATCGGTTTTTATAGTACTACCAATGAGGTGTTGTAATCGATAAATGTACGGATTTGGCTGTTTGGTTTTGTTTTAACAATGATGCCAACTGTATGAAATAGACTGTACCCATCCCGGATCATCATCGTTTCTCCGCCATTAGCACCTTGCGACATTCTTTTGTTTAACTGTATGTACACAACTCATAAAAAATGCCTTAACTTTGTGTTTCCGTGTAGTGCGAGCGCGAACATGGATGTAAGTTGGTGTGTTTCGTATAAACTAGATTAAGTTCTGAGTTAAAGACCACAGTTTTGCCATATGTGTGATGGTGTTGATATATTTTTTCTATAGTTACGTTCAAACTATACTTAAGTGCTTCAATTGTATCGACGTAATATCAGGACTTAGATTTAAGAAACTTATTACAGATGATATCCAGTCGAGGTCTGACCTGAGCGAAACGTCAATTTAATGAGATTTTCTACGACCGTCTAGTCAGTTTCTGGTTAATTTCTAGTAATAGTGTCCTCGAAACTGATAACCACTGTTTACTTTGTTGTATTTGACTCGATTTTAGGTACGATTAGTTAGAGTATTTACCGATAAGTACGATTTGTAAGCAAGCGCAAGGATATTACTTGTACATAGATTTAGTGTGAGAGAAGTACTGTGCGAGGAACGCTTTAACATTAAAGTCGCAAGTCGAGGTCTGAGCTACCGGCCCCAGCAGTCTTGAGATTGTACATATTTATTAAAATTTACGTTTAGTTTCCAAGTACAATAAATCAAACAGTGAACTCACACTTCTCATTAAATTGATTCAGTGAAAGTTATTTAGTGTTCAGTTGCGAATATTTCTTTTCATTATTTCGTTAGGAAATTATTAGTTTGTTTTTAGTTGTAGTGCATGCTGACTTCTTATCAAGCGTTAAGTTATAGCTTTTTCTTCTTTGCGTTTAAATAAATGTTATGACTAGTAATAAAACTGAAATAAAAATAATCTTGTTTGTATTTTCTTCTAGTGTTATTTATTTCACGACGAATGTACTTTCGATGCAATATTTTATTGTTACACAATCAAATATTGATTTGTATACCGTTATTTTTATTAGTTTCCTATGTTAGTTATGTTAAGGTTTAATAAAAAATGGCCCACTTCCAAATAGTTGTCGTTATTTTCGACATAATCAGAAAAGTACTGATTAAATCACCAACCTAAAAAGATCCTTACTAAGGCTACATAAACAGCATGGACAACACATGATCTGGTTTTGAGGTTAAGTTAAATGGTGGAATGAAAAATAAATCTATTTTAGATAATCTGCTGTAAGGTGATTTTTGCTGTAAAATCAGTTGTAGAGATACCAAATACAGTTCTTTGTGGATTACGCTTAATGGTTGTTTCGTGAGACAGGAAAACCCTATTTATGAGTACACGGGACGCCTCTGGGTTTTTAAATGTTTTGGACTTTGATCTGACGTAATCAGTTGACATTTAGCTGAGTTAGAACATGGATAGATGACGCGGTAAGTAAATAAATCTGATATTTTTGTATAACTGGGTGCCTAATCGATCAATTAGATGTTTATTCGTCATTGAGCTGAAATAATTTGGCACGTGTTTTTGTCTTATTTACCTCAATCCTATATACAGGAACTAGAGAGCATGAAAGTTTACTTTCAATTTAAATTACACAGCAAAGAAAATTACTGAGGCTAAAATTGCAAGATAGAGAAAAATTGCAAAGCTAACAGAATTACACTTAATTGTGTTAGAACCAGTTAACGATTAAAATCCTAACACGAATTGTCAATTTGCAAACAATAAACCAAATTCACACCACGTGTTAGTTAGCGTCGGTTGAAAATTCGCATATTTCCGCTTGGAAAACCCGCAAGAATTAGCTACGCTTGTTGGGGAAAACTGGCATCGCAATCGGTACGATTAATTTTCGTTAAACAAAGGGTTCCCCTTTTTTCTAACTACCAAACCAACTAAACTTAAGGCTCCTCCTTACAGTCATTAAAATCTGCCGAAATACGGCAAAACGCCACTTCCAATATCATCCTTACTATAGCACTTGAAGACTTGTGCGACATATCTACTTGTTCGTGATACAAAAATCTTCATGGAAATAGTTTTTATATTGCATTAAAGGCTTTCGTTTTTTTAATAAAAAATAAAAACAGAAAAACTCATTTTTCTCTTTGAGCCAAAACTATAGCGTATTTTGGCTTAAAAAAATCTGACAGTGTAGATAATATTATTGCTCACCTGGGACTAATAATTATTTTTTCGTTAAACTATCCATTTTTTAGTTATTGTTGATTAAAGCAAGACCTAAAAAGGGCATTTTTTGTAAATGTAGGCAACCAAACATCTTCTTTCGTCAAGAACGAGCCAAGAAAGTGTATGATTTACGATAGGGGTTGGCCACTATTGAGAGATTACACGGATTTAAAACCCTTGTTGAGAAAATATGCAAATGAGGTGACCGTAGCTGAAGGTTGTGGAATCGTACAATTATGTAGGAGTATTGTATTAATCTAATTTCAGAATAACAAATAAATAACCGAGTTTGGATTTTTTACAAAACTGCCTAACTTATTTCAACAGCTATAATTACTGCTGATCCCAAGTAATTAATAATGATACAATTATAGAAATTAAGTGTGCTTTTTCTGCCTGAAATAAAAAAATTAAAGATGCCATAAAAGACGGTACCATTAAATTTTGTGTCATCAATGAAGCTGACGACTCGATTGTACTAAAATATAAGCACGATTACATGTATCAAATGCAAGGACAACTTCATATAACACAAAAAAAATGGTGTTATTTCATCATATATACTGAGGTTGATTTACAATATTTTTTAATTGAAAGAAATGACGATTTTTGGGAGAAAGAAATGGAAAATTATTTGGAAAAATTTTATTTAAAAGCCATGCTCCCAGAAATGATTGATTCACGATGGAGTCGAAATCAGCAGCTTCGTCCTATAATAAAAAAAGATTTATGATTTACAGACCATTATTTATTTTTATATCATTATATTTATTATATTCTATCTCAGTCAAAAAAAAATATATACATTTTAAAATTTAGAAGAGGCTATAATATGTATAAAGATATTGTAGTAAGCCGTTTCGAACCAAATTTCCGCGCGCCGAACTTTTGGTAAGAAAAGGTGTAGGAATGGAAAGAAACGAAAATCACTAAGAGGGAGATGCGCAGAAGGGTGTGTTTGAGCAGGGTTAGTCGCGGCCAGTTCGACTTGGTCTTTCTTTTGAGTAAGACGTCAGGTTGGTGCTCTCTGTGTTTTTTTTCAAATGTCTGTGCGCTGTTTGTTTCCTGTTCTAGTGCTGGTTTCTTCTAACGGAGTTCCACCCCCCTGACGAACCAACGAACGTAAGAATTCTCTGCTACGTTCGAACACAGAGAGGTTATTTCGGTGGTGAGCACGTATTTGGTTTGAAGATCCGAGAGGTATGTTTTCCACGTGATTCCGTGTGTGCTGGTGGAAGAAGCGGCGTTGCTTCTCGATGGTTACGGAGTAGGTGAGACGCGGGAACCACACCTGTGAGCTTCGCGGGCGTCACATACGCGAACGGACGCTACCAAAAATGGCGGCACTTCCGGATGACGCCATGGCCGATAATTTTCGTACTAATCTTTTCAACATAATTTCAATCCGTTTTAGTAGGGCCTTTCAGGGAATTACGTTAGCTAGGGCAGTTTTATTTAGCGAATGTTATGCGGAAAGTTGGATGGCGATTTTCGAGTTATTATTTTGCGTTGCATAATTTGAGCACGTGTGAGTAAAGTAAATTCAAACATGATCTGAACAAGCGAATCTTTAACTAAAATTAACGCTGAGAAAGGCATTAGAAAATTAATAATATTAGAGTCTGGGGGACGGGGGATTTCTTTGTGTTAGTAACATCAATTAATTAGGCACATCAATTTGACTGACATTATAAGATCTAAGATATTTGAATGGCTTTTCCTCGATTTATTATTCGTTTGTTGTAAACTCTAATGCTGGAAAATTTCATGTAGTTTTTTCAAATATTCAGCCGTTCAAAATAGAAAGAGAAAGTGGTAGGGTGCAGGTACGGGGTGTTGACCGGGGAATTTCAAGGGCAACCTTTGTAAATTTTTGTATTAGTCATTGGGGATTTGTTGTTGACCGAAAACTGTTGATGAATTTGAAAATGAATGTTATTGAAAGAAAGGTACAATTCAAATTGAATGTGCACCTACGATTACCTATATTTTATTTATTTTGCATATTTTATGTGTCGCATTTTTATGTGTTGTTCTGTTTATTTCGTATGTGTTTTTATTTATGTGTCTTTTGTTTGGGGATGTGTTGAAGGGAGGGGGGTTTGTTTGTTTAATTCGGTCAACAACGTAACTTTGCCCAGATCATTTTAATGCAGTCGTAACTTCGTTGTTTAATGTCAGATAAATATTTCATTAAAATCATTGCCAAAATGTGAATAATTTAATCTCTTTCAAAAATTCTTGTTCTTTAAAGTTATTGATAAAAACATGAATAATTTCTCACTTCATTTTCTTTATTGCATAAGATTGTTGATCACACGTGCATAATTTAATCTCATTTCAATTTCTTTGTTATTTAAAACAAGTGTTGATGGAGTGTGGCCAATTAAATTACGCTTATTGCTTGTCTGAAATCCAAATACTCATTTTGATAACGCTAGTTAACTCGGGGGTCGTGTGGCGTGGACGCGGTGGCGTCGGCGTCTCCGTGCGAGTGTCTGCGGGTCTTGCTAGACTTCCGGCCCTAGCGGACTCGGAGTTTACACAGCTACTTGGACGCGGGAAACAGGAAGGTCAACCTATGTCAGGTGGGTGCGTAAGACCACGCACGTGAAGTGGTGAGGTAGGACTATGTGGACCTTCACGGGGAGTGTGGCCGTCGCCCTGCACCCGCTGTGCGTCCCCCCCCCCCCCCCCATTTTGTTTGTAGAGGCCACACTGCCATAATATCTGGAACGTTGCCATCCATTTACTTTCTGAGAATTCCGCGACTTTTTATTTTGCTTTTTTTGTTGTACTTGTAAGGTTGCTAATATTTATTCTCTGTTCTCAGATTCGAGTGAAAATAAAGGTTTTTTTTTCTCTGAGGAATAAATTCTTTAAGCTCTTCTGGGGCCCTTGGCCAAGGTCTCTTGAGCTCTTATTGGATTTAATTTTCATAGTTTTTTTTTTCAAAATATAAGTTTTTTAAATCCGTCACTCTTCCCGCTCCGCAGTGCGCCAACTTGTATGAACGAACGCCTCCCGCCAGTTTTCAAAACACAATGTAGGGTCCCACTTTTGTAGACGATCACAGCCAAGGTCAAATTTTAAATTTTAGCGGGCTTTTTCAAATTTTGTTCAATGCCAAATAAAAGGCGGGAGGTTTGGGTTATTACAATATGTAAGTAATTCAACACATACATTCGATTATTAGTGTCACATATAATCGAATCTTCATAGTGTGCTTTGGAAAAAGTTGTTCTATTCTTTTCTTTCTCAGTGATTGATAATTTTAAAATTTGTCTAATTTATCTCACATTTGGGATCAGCACTAACTATAGCTGTTGAAACAAGTTAGGCAGTTTTGTAAAAAATCCAAACTCGGTTATTTATTTGTTATTCTGAAATTGGATTAATATAATACTTCTACATAATTGTACGATTCCACAACCTTCAGGTAGAACACACTACGGTCACCTCATTTACATACTTTCTCAACAAGGGTTTTAAATCCGTCTAATCTCTCAATAGTGGCCAACCCCTATCGTAAATCATACACTTTCTTGGCTCGTTCTTGACGAAAGAAGATGTTTGGTTGCCTACATTTACAAAAAATGCCCTGTTTAGGTCTTGCTTTAATCAACAATAACTAAAAAATGGATAGCTTAACGAAAAAATAATTATTAGTCCCAGATGAGCAATAATATTATCTACACTGTCAGATTTTTTTAAGCCAAAATACGTTATAGTTTTTGCTCAAAGAGAAAAATAAGTTTTTCTGTTTTTATTTTTTATTAAAAAAACGAAAGCTTTTAATACAATATAAAAACTATTTCCATGAAGATTTTTGTATCACGAACAAGTAGATATGTCGCACAAGTCTTCAAGTGCTATAGTAAGGATGATATTGGAAGTGGCGTTTTGCCGTATTTCGGCAGATTTTAATGACTGTAAGGAGGAGCCTTAATCTAGCAGCTTACCGCGTCCTTTCACTCTTCACTACCAACCCTCTCACTAGATACTACCCAGAAATTCCCTAGGAGAGCTACCAACTACCAAAAAAGAACTAAACTTGCACATGGTTGCCTATGTTTTAACGATTTTTTTAATTCAAAATGTTTTCAAATTCAAATTATTCAAATGGTATTTCGCGCAGTTTTTTTTTTCAGCGCGAAATTTTAATTCAAATTCGGTCACCACAATCTGTCAGTGGAAATAATAATGAATGTTTAAAATACAGGCCAATAAGAATGCTAGGCATAAGTTTCAAGCTTATATATTTATATTATAATATTTTGGGATGACGTGATAAAATTTTTAATAACGACAAGAACAAAAAGGCGATAAAGAAACAAAAGATGCGACTTAAAAAAAAAGAGAATAAAGAATTGATAAATAACGCGACTAAAAGAAGGACACAAGAAATGTACATAAAAAGCCATATCATAAAAATAATAATCAATAAAAACGGGAAACAAAAAGGGACCAATAAATAAGCTATACAAAAGCAACCATCAAAACTATGACAAAGACAAAAAGGAAAAAAAACATGAAAAACGTAACAAAAAAGGATTTAGAATACGATATCGAATATAACTGAATTTTTAATTTTTTGTTCTAGTTTTCTTTTGTTCCGATGTACTGCTAGTGCCGCAAATAAAAAAAATCCACAAACAAAATACCAAAAATAGTAACGAAAACACAGCGACAAAAAAATAAAAAGGGGCAAAAGGTCAATAAAAAAAGTTTGGGAAGTTTGCGACCTTCTTTGTTCATAAATGATCAAAATGCCCTATAAAAAAATTGTCAAAAAAATGCAACCTAAAAAAAAGGAGTCAAAAAAGTGACAAGAAAATGCCAAAACAAAGCTACAGAACAAGGGATAATGAAGCAATAAGAGGAGAAAAAAGTGACAAGAAAAGGCCAGAAACAAGCTACAGAAAAAAGGGATAATGAAGCAATAACAGGACAAAAAAGCGACAGAAGAAGACAAAAAAAGTAACAAAATAAAAGCAACAAAAAAAGACAAAGAAAACAGTTCTAAAAAAGAGCTAAAATACTCAACGAAGAAAGTGAAAAAAAGGACACAGAACGTCGTAAAAAATAATTTAAGCGTTTTTTATTGTAAACTGTATTTGCAAAAAAATTAAAAAAAAATCAACCCAAAAAAAGCTACAAAAAATGTCACAAAACAATCCCAATCATACAAAAAGACGTAAAAAAACAATAAAAAAAATTCATTACTGAAATATGCGCTAAAATTTGATATCAAAGAAAAAAAGGGCCAAAAAAAGACGATGAAAAAATAAGTGACAAAAAACAAAATCGCGCTGTAAATATGTGAACAAAAAATACGACAAAAAAAGTCAAGAAATGCTAAATCTAATGACGAAAAAATTACACAACAAATCAAAAGCGAAAAACAAAAGACCACACAAACTGCGACAAAAGAAATCTAAAAGGAACAAGAAACAAATACAACAAAAAAGGCGACAAAATGTTGATATGAAAAAAGGCGATAAAAAAGTATAAAAAAGACGGCAGTAAATAAGCTATAAAAAATCTGACAAAAAAAGTTAAACAAAAAAAAAACGAAATAAAAAAGGGTACAGAAAGCCGAAAGAAATTGAATTTGTACTTTTTTTGTTCTATTGTTTTTTGTTCCAATGTATTGGTCTAGTTGTATAAATAAAAGAATCCACGAAAAGAAACTCCAAAAAGTAACGAAAAACACGACGAAAAAAGGTGATACAACACAACAAAAAAATGCCAAAAAACTAACACAAAAGCGACAAAAAAGACTATAAAAAAAGACACCAAGAAAAGAGGACAACAAAAAACCTCCAAAAACGTCAAAATATGCCAAAATAAATCTATTGTATAAAAATATAATTATAAAACGAAGGTAACGTTCCCTGGAGCAAATTACAGAGTGATTAACAAGTACTGTTTCAGTTGGTATCAATGAATTTTGCTTGAAATTGATAGACCCTTGTCACTTCACTTCACTTCCTGTTGTCCATACTGACAAATCTGACAGTGACACTTAATTTACTTATAGCAAAATTTGTTACTGATTTTCATTAAAACATCATAACCAAATTTTCTTGAATTCTTAAATAAAAGTGGCATAGTGGTACTTGCTGATCACGATGTATTAACTAGAAGTAATAATTATAAACATCTAAAATTAATATAATTATTTCAATTTAGAACTAATACAGGCAGGTATTTTTTTTCATTAAGTGCTTAAATTTTTTCTTTGAATTGCACAGGAAGAGTGTTATGGGCGTTTTTTTTATTTGATACAACCCCTGTCACTTTTTTATTCTTAAAGATAAACCTGTAGTTCTTTTGAAAAGATCCATGTGATGGCAACTTCACATTTTTATTGTCACTTCCGGTAGAACCGGTAATGGCGTCAACTTTATTTTTTTTTTATGAAACACAAAGTATATTTTTTCATAAATGGAAAGATTTTTTCTAAAAAATCAAAAGTAACCAATATTCTAAAATCAATACTTAAAAAGTCATTCAATAAAATAGACGAAAAATTCATAGTTAAAATGATACAAATTTGCTCAAAGAACTATATGTTTGTTATTTTTATTAAACAAAAAAGTTACAGGGGTTGTATAAAATAAAAGAAACACGTGGTATATTTTTAGCACTGAAAAAAATGTTTTGGGGATAAGTGACGTTCATTGTCACGCAGCCAAAGTTATTTGTTATAAAAACTGAGACAAAAAAGTATGTAAAAAAAAATGCAAAAACACTCGCAACAAAGAAAGCTAAATACAAAAAACACGTCAAAAAGGGACAAAAAAATGTATAGTATTTTCCATTAAATATAATTATCCAGTAAAATTCTGAGATGACATTATCATTGATCAGCAATTTTCCGTTTATATAATAATAACCTTAAAATATTTGCAAGATATCAGAGCAGTTTGAGGCAACTGTGGTGATGGTCCGTTAATTCCTAAAATAGTGTTGATGTTAAAGCTTTCTCAATAACATATGCAAACTTTTCAACGCAAAACCTAGATAAACTTTCATATTTTATAACTGATATTTTCACAGTTCGTCACCCCTGATAAAAATGCGTGAGACGCCCATGATTTCGCAACCTCATTCCAGTGACATCTGACAGCTGTCAGTGCGTCAGTGTCAATGTGGGAGGATTTGTTTAGGTTTTCCAACATGATTCACTTAAAAACAAGTAACAATGTATTTCCGCCAACGATAAACTTTTCGGTCAATAATTTTAAGTGAAAGTGCAAAAATGTCCGATTCCAGTCCATACGTAGCCAAATACCAACAGCTCTTGCGCGACTTGAAAAACACGGTCGAAGGCCTCCTGGTGTCCCAAGTGGCCAACGTGTGGTCCATATATGGGGGCCTAAACCGTCTCCACTGTTCAGTGGAGAAAATCTTCAAACACGGCTGTAAATCCCCAGGACTGGTAAGTTAGTCACACGTAACCCCACTTTTTTGACAGTTGTTTTTAGGAGAGTACTGGGTATTTTCAGTTTATTCAAGGTTTAGAGTGGCTGCAGCCGGAAAATGCCAAGTCGTACTTTTCGATAGATTGCGAATATAAACCCCACGTGCCGCAGAATCTTAAAGATGACAAATCTTCAATTTGGTTGTATCGAAGTTTGGAGAATCACTCGCTATCTCAAAAATTATCATGGCTGCTTTCGGATAAAAACCACCTACTGCAATGTTACCAGGAATACGCATTTCTATGTCAGGAGAAGTACGCTGAAGCGGCTCTTATTTGTTTGAGGGCTGTGGAGCGGAATCAAGCCAGTTTAATGTCGGAGATTAATCCATGTCTTTTTCTTCTTGAGGCCAGTGCTAAAGAATTCCACAAAATGCACCGACGGTGTTCGTCGTATCCAGACGACCACGTCAAACATTTTTATCTAGATGCAGAGAAAAAACGCAAAACTATGCAAGATTTAAACGAAGCAACTAAAGAAGTTGTGAAATCCCCAAAAAAAGCTCTAATTAAGGGTAAATTGAAGCCCTGGCACAGCATGCCGAGCCTACATTCTGACACTTTCCAAATAAAAAAGCAAGTGTTCGCGCAGAGCAAAACAACTCCGTCCACTCCTCTTTATACCAAAAAAATTTCAGCTAGTACTTTAAAGTTAGATAAGTCAATACAGTATCCAAAGATGAGAAAATCTAATTTGAAGAAGGGGGCGCCTAAAGTGAAGAGGGAACCGAGGCACGTTATTATAAATAATTGTGATATTATTGAGCACACGCCGCCTTTGAGCAGTTCTCAGAGTAGTGGTGCTATGGGGAATGATGATTTGATGAATCTCAGTACGAAGTCGTTGCCAGAAACGAGGAACATTTCGCATTCGCCAAGGCTTGTTGACAGTTTTCTACCTCTACCTGGTGAGAAGGATTTTAGAAAAACTCCCAAGAAGTCGTTTATTGAGGATGGCGGAATGAGCGTTCTTCCAATGGCTACAGGGTTTGTGTTTTATTATTGTAGGACTATTAATAAATCTATGAAGAGAGAACGCGCTAAACCTTTGAAGTTTTCATATCAAAATTTGCGAAAAAATATACATCGTGAGCGAAGTGCGCGACACGTTAAAAGTACGACTATATTGCGAATGATTTTAAATGATAATTTTAAAATAATAAAAATGGGAAACTTTTACTTAAACACAAAATCGTTACAATGATTTCCGTTTTCAATAAAATTTCCAAGTGTGTTTCTTCACCCCTTGACAGGTACTACAAGGTCAATGTTATTTATAATTGAAGGGATTTCCATTCAGTGTCACTTCTCGAAAAAAATTAATAAACATTTCCCGTTTATTCATAATAATGATCTTGTTATTGTTAAGCGGTACAACGATTGATATACCAAAGCAAATTTGCGTTGGCCCTTTTTCCTATAAACCACTATAATTAGTTCTAATACCTGCCAGTATCCAACGAAAGCGGAATTTTAGCCTCCAGACCTCAGTTGTTAACAAAGAACCGGGTGATTACTAATGGTTGAGGCAAATTTCTGTGTTGGCAACTCTGAATTTTGACAGTTTACAGTTGTCAAATTTGACATGAGAGCGCCTAAAAAATTGTTAAAAAGATCGCAGCTAGTGACTTGGTGTTATAAATGTCATTTTGATAATCAGTTAGCTAATCATGAAATTTTAAATCTGATGCCAACATGACAAAAAAATCACAAACATTAAATAATCACTAGGTATTTGACCTTCTATACACGAGTCCCGCTTTTTCGACCAAACTAGAAAGTAAAACGTGTAATGAACAGATACTGCTTAAACCTTTCTAATAAAATTGGCTCATATGCATAAGGACTTCTGTAGGGTACAAAATTGTAAATGCAACTCTGCGAACCTTTAAGCCTGCCTTAATAAAACGAAATTGCTAATAATATACTGAATTCATTGTTTTAAAAATAAGTATCTATTTATCTGTTAAAAAATTCTAAGATCACTCAACCGGCAACATAGGAAAACTCAATCAACAACATTGTCTAGGGAGATTTTTGGTACCAAAAAGTGCTGTCAAAAAAATTGAGGTTAGGATGATGATGGTTTTCATTCAAAACACATTGTTTTTTGTGATTTTAGTTTGATATTTTTGTCATGAACTTTTTGTACTACCAACTTGCCGGTATAAATATAAGCCCTAGAGGAGTTTTATTTAGTACCAACTTAATTCAGTTTGGTAGTTTTTAATTTTTAAATGAATGGTAGGGTCAAGCTTGGCCAAAGTTTCTACTAATTTAATCAAGCCTACTAAAAAAGTAGATGAAGTTTCTTTACAAAGAAATTTTTGTTTTGTAAAGTCCAGGCTGTTTCTATCTGACAATTTGATAAAAAGTAAGGTTGGTCACACTGCCCTGTTTGGGTTTTTTGTTCATAAAAAATAATAATAATAATAATAAAAAAGTCCGAAAAAATACCTTACCACTAGCAATTTTTCAAAATTTCCCTTGGGGTATGGACTGATCAAAATGAACTGAAATTTAGTTATTAGTTCTGTTGTCCATCCGTCGAAAGGAAACTTTCAAGTTTTCACAACATTTTATAACCTTTGGAGAATGAAATGAATTATTGTTATTATAATTATTAATGAAAAAATCTGTTTTGCCAATCGGTCTGTCCTCTGTCGTCTCTGTGTCTGTCCTGTGTCGTCTCTCTGTCTGTCCTCTGTCGTCTCTCTGTCTGTCCTCTGTCGTCTGTCTGTCTGTCTGTCCTCTGTCGTCTGTCTGTCTGTCGGTCCTCTGTCGTCTGTTGGTCTGTCTCTGTTGATTTGCCTCTGTTGATATGTCGTCTGTTGATCTGTCGTTTGTTGATCTGTCGTCTGTTGATATGTCGTCTGTCGGTGTGTCGTTTATTGATCTTTCTGTTGATTTGTCTCTGTTGATATGTCGTCTGTTGATCTGTCGTCTGTTGAATCGTCGTCTGTTGAATTGTCGTCAGTTGAACTGTCGTCTGTTGAACTAACGTCTGTTGAACTAACGTCTGTTAATTTATCGTCTATCTGTCATCTGCTGATCGGTCGTTTGTCTGTCTGTCATCTGTCTGTCTATCGTCTGCTTGTCTGTCTGTCGTCTGTTGAACTAACGTCTGTTAATTTATCGTCTATCTGTCTGTCGTCTGTTGATCGGTCGTTTATCTGTCTGTCGTCTGTCTGTCTATCGTCTGTTTGTCTGTCTGTCGTATGTTGATCTGTCGTTTGTTGAATTGTCGTCTGTCTCTCGTCTGTTGATCTGTCGTGTGTCGGTTGTTTGTTGATTTGTCGTCTGTCTATCGTCTCCTGATCTGTCGTTTGTCTGTCCGTTGTCTGTCTGTCTATCGTCTGTTTGTCTGTTTATCGTCTGTCCCTCTATCGTCTGTTTCTCTGTCTGTCGTCTGTTTCTCTGTCTGTCGTCTGTTTTTCTGTCTGTCGTCTGTTTCTCTGTCTGTCGTCTGTTTCTCTGTCTGTCATCTGTCTGTCGTCTGTTGATCTATCGTCTGTTGATCTATGTTCGGTCTGTCGTCTATTGAATTGCCGCCTGCCTGTCTGTCTTTCGGTTGTCTGTCGTCTATCTGTTCTCTATTGATCTGTCGTTTGTCTGTCCGTTGTCTGTCTGTCTATCGTCTGTTCGTCTGTTTATCGTATGTCCCTCTATCGTCTGTTTCTCTGTCTGTCGTCTGTGTCTCTGTCTGTCGTCTGTTTCTCTGTCTGTCGTCTGTTTCTCTGTCTGTCGTCTGTTTCTCTGTCTGTCGTCTGTTTTTCTGTCTGTCGTTTGTTTGTCATCTGTTTCTCTGTCTATCGGCTGTTTGTCGTCTGTTTCTCTGTCTGTCATCTGTCTGTTGATCTGTGTTCGGTCTGTCGTCTATTGAATTGCCGCCTGCCTGTCTGTCTGTCGATCGTCTGTCGTCTCTCTGTCCTCTGTCCTCTGTCTTCTGTCTGTTCTCTGTCCTCTGTCTTCTGTCTGTTCTCTGTCGTCTGTCCTCTGTCGTCTGTCCTTTGTCTGTACTCTGTCGTCTGTCTGTTTCTGTCGTTTGTCTGTCCTCTGTCCTTTGTGGTCTGTCTCTTCTCTGTCGTCTGTCCTTTGTCGTCTGCCTATCGTCTATTTGTCTGTCTGTCGTCTAACTGTTCTCTGTTGATCTGTCGTCTATTGATTTGTCGTCTGTTGATCTGTGGTCTGTTGTATTGTCGTTTGTTGAACTGTCGACTGCTGAATCGTCGTCTGTTGAACTAACGTCTGTTGATTTGTCGTCTATCTGTCTGTCGTCTGTTGATCTGTCGTTTGTCTTTCTATTTATCGTCTGTTTATCTATATGTCGTTTGTTGATATGTCGTCTATAGATCTGTTGTCTGTTGAATTGTCGTCTGTCTCTCGTCTATTGATCTGTCGTCTGTTTAATTGTCGTCTATCTCTCGTCTATTGATCTGTCGTTTATGTCTGTCGTCTGTTTGTCTGCGTGTCGTCTGTCTCTCTATCGTCTGTTTCTCTGTTTGTCGTCTGTCTGTCGTCTGTGGATCTATCGTCTGTTGATCTGTCATCGGTCTGGCGTCTGTTGAATTGCCATCTGCCTGTCTGTCTGTCGGTCGTCCGTCTGTCGTCTGTCTGTCTGTCATCTGTTAATTTGTCTCTGTTGATCCAAAGTTTACTCTGGGGTGTGAACAGTTAGAAATGGATTAAAATTTACTTGTTTGTTGTCCAATAGTCGAAAGGCTATTTTTAAGTTTTCTCAACATTTTATGATCTATAGAGAATGAAAAAATCGGTCTACCGATCAATCTGTCGTCTGTCTGTCCTCTGTCCTCCGTCTGTCTATCGTCTATTTGCCTGTATGTCGTCTAACTGTCGTCTCTCTGTCGTCTCTCTGTCGTCTGTTGATCTGTCTCAGTTTATTTGTCTCTGTTGATCTGTCGTCTGTTGATATGTCGTCTGTTGATCTGTCGTCTGTTGATCTATCGTTTGTTGAATTGTCTGTTGAACTGATGTCTGTTGATTTGTCGTCTATCTGTCTGTCGTTTGTTGATCTGTCGTTTGTCTGTCTGTCTGTCTATCGTATGTTTGTCTGTCTGTCTGTCTATCGTCTGTTTGTCTGTCTGTCTGTCTATCGTCTGTTTGTCTGTCTGTCGTCTGCTTGTCTATCGTCTGTTGATCTGTCTCTGTTGAATTGTTGTCTGTTGAACTGACGTCTGTTGATTTGTCGTCTATTCATGTGTCGTTTGTCTGTCGTCTGTTATTTGTTGATCTGTCGTCTGTCTGTTGTTTGCTGGTCTGTCGTCTGTCTATCGTCTGTTAATCTGTCGTCTGTTTGTCTGTCTGTCGTCTGTTGATCTGTTGTCTGTTGATCTGTTGTCTGTTGATCTGTTGTCTGTTGATCTGTTGTCTGTTGATCTGTTGTCTGTTGATCTGTTGTCTGTTGATCTGTTGTCTGTTGATCTGTTGTCTGTTGATCTGTTGTCTGTTGATCTGTTGTCTGTTGATCTGTTGTCTGTTGATCTGTTGTCTGTTGATCTGTTGTCTGTTGATCTGTTGTCTGTTGATCTGTTGTCTGTTGATCTGTTGTCTGTTGATCTGTTGTCTGTTGATCTGTTGTCTGTTGATCTGTTGTCTGTTGAATTGTCGTTTGTTGAATTGCCGTCTGTCTGTCGTCTGTTTGTTGTCTGTCTGTCGTCTATTAATTTATCTCTGTTGATTTGTCGTCTATCTGTCTGTCGTCTGCTGATGTATCGTCTGTTGATCTGTCGTTTATCTCTTTGTCGTCTGTCTGTCCAGCATCTGTTTGTCTGTCTGTCGTCTGTTGATCTGTCGTCTATTGAGTTGTCGTCTGTCTGTCGTTTCTTGATCTGTTGTCTATCTGTCGTCTGTCTGGGGTCTGTTTGTTTGTTTGTCGTTTGGCTGTCGTCTGTGTGTCTGTCGGTCGTCTCTGTGTGTCGATATTTATTAGACAGATAATCTTCAAAACTATTAGACTGATTTTGGCAATTTTTTTAAGTATTTTAGGAATATCGTGTAGATGGTAAAGGGCTAACCAAAAATTGTCTGAGCACCTGCACCAACGTTTTGTTTACATTTTCTCAAAATTTTGCATGGTATATATTATTTAAGTTTCATAATACATACATATAACAAAATTCTGTACTTGTGGCATATGAATCTGCCTTGACTTTTTATCCTAGGCATCCAGATTTTCGCAAAAAATCATCATTTTATATCAATATGAACATTGAACAACCGCTTATTAGTTCAGTTGTTTAGAATTTCGTGCTAATAACGCGAAGGCGCGGTTTAGATCCCTTCATGGGCCACGATTTTTTTTCTTAGGCTGTGACTGGTTTTGTCTGTTTTTTTTTTAAATTGTTTGTTTAGGGACCAAGGAAGTTCTGTCTAATGACACCAAACCATTGTTTTCTGATATTTTCATCAAAATTAACTTTTGTTGTACTCCAAACCATTTCAATTGGATTAATGTGGTAGTAGTAAGATGGAAGCTTATAATTTCGTGGTCATCCATTTTTGTTGACAGGTCTTTAATCCTTCCGTTTCTTTCTCTCTTTTTCTGTCTCATTATACTTAAGAAATGTATTTTTTTTTCCGAAAACCCTCAAAAGAAAAAAGAAGCTGAATTGAGACGAATAAGTACTGTTCAAAGTTTAATTGAATTTTAATTGTAATTACGTAATTTTAAGTTAAGTCTAAAGTTGTTAAAATAGTTTCAATTCAGTACCCTGAAGATGTGGAATACGTAAATTGTCACGAAACCAAATCAGTTGAAATAAATAAAATAGAACAAAAAACACATTTATTGAGGCAGAAATGTAAAAAATAAATGTTAGTAGGTGTCAAGGTGTCAAGGAATTTTTTAAAATTGTGTGTACCATAAAAAAGCAAAATATTTATCATTTTAAATCTCCCGCCAATATGACGTTACGGGCCGAACAGGTTGAGGAGGTTGTTGAGTTGCATTTAAAATGTAGTACTTGTCTTTGTACTCATTTAGCACAAGAACCAATTTTGTTCGCTACTGGTTTTACCTTCTAGTTCGGTCGACAAAGCGGTACTCATACAGTTGGTAAATACTTTACTACTAATCGATCTACAATGGCTAAAATTCCGCTCTCGTTTGATACCAGCAGTTATTAGAAACAAGGACCAAAATCAACTTGCTTTTCGATTTTGAACTTTAATATAACGCCCCTTCTAGGTACTTTCCAAGACCGGCCAAAGGCCAGAGCTTGCTCTCATTCTTGACTTCAAGTCAATTCGCAAGAGCAAACGCAGAACTCGACCGAGAAAACGCGCACTTCAGCATTTCCGAAGCAATCATTTCCGCCATGGAGCAGATCAGATGTCGCAGAGAACTGAAATTGGTAGACGAACAACTCGACGACTCTGATCCAGAGATAATAGATTTAAAGCAACGGATCAGATTGAGAAGGCGCGAGAAACTGGCGGAAAAACAAAGAAAAGTTTGGGCGGACTCGCTGATGAGCGACGGAAAAACAGACAGTAAGTGCGGAGCAAAAAAAAATTGAATAACAAAGGTCCAGTTAGAGTGTGGGTCTCCTGATTATTATTATTATTATTATATCTAGCTGCCACCACCGTCAGCCCGTGCTCCACCTCGCCCGATTCCTTCTCGGACTGCGCAAGCTCCGAAGAAGTCGACGATCTAGAAATAGATGAAGCCTCAACTCTCTCCGAAAACCACGGTCTCTCTGTTTCCATGGCGTCCCTCTATTCAGACGCAGACGTTCTAAGACGACCACGCGGTGCTCCAGACGGTGCTTCTGACATTTTCTCAGCCGAAGGAGTAGCTTTATCTCTGATAAGCAAGTTCAGCGAAAAGCAGCTACCGCGCGCGTCGGATCTAGAATGGCTGGTTTCTGAAGAGGACGCTCCTCAAGCTCTCTTACCGATGCCAAAGAGCTGGCCTGTGAGTCCCGACGACTCGGAAAGTTCAGTTACCTTGTTGAGAGGGACGCAAGAGTGGGCGCCACCAAGGCCTCAGATTATCTTCACCATCCATCCACCTCCTTCGTAAGTTGAAAGGACTGGAGGTTCGATCGGAAGTGGAATCAAGCTTGTTTTAGGAGGAAAATCCTGATAGCGAAACAAAACTATCGGTGTGCTGGGTGTAGCATGAGGGTGGCGCCACAGTACGCGTCGAGGTATAGATACTGTGATTATTTGGGGAGGTACTTTTGTACAGGGTGCCACACGAATCAGTTAGCTTTAGTACCGGGACGGGTTTTGCAGAAGTGGGATTTTACCAGGTACTGATGGGTTACAGGAAACTCGATGGGTTTACCAATTTTCGTTGTAGATATCCCGTTTCGTCTTTCTCGTATAGACTGTTGGAACAAATGTATTCCGATCCTTTATTCCGAGTTTTCGAACTTAACAAACACATCTGGAAGATGTCCAAAAACCTCCAGTTTTGTCGAAAATTTCGACTAGGTTTATTCTACTTAAAAGATTTTATTTTTACTTGTAGGTTTGCGGAAACGTGAGTATATTTGTTTTGGTTGTTGGAAGTTCGTTCGTCGTTGGGTTTTAGGATTCGCGAAAGATTGGAGCAAGAAAAAACGTACATTCTAGCGGATCCGGAGATTTATTCTATAGAAGATCTAGTCAGTGTTAGAAATGGTGATATGAAACTTAGGCTTAAGTATTTAGTGGAGTTGTGTTGTAGGCATACCGCCGAGTGCAAGGTAAGATACCCGTTTGTTTGACAGCTTGATTATGGTTGTTTTTGTAGCTGTGTTACGAGAGAGGCTTTATTTGTGAAATCTGTAATTCACCGGAAGTTATTTTTCCATGGCAGATGAAGAAGGTGAGACGGTGTAGTCAGTGCGGAATGTGCTACCATTCTAGCTGTTGGATTCCCAGTGAAAAACCATGTCAGAAGTGTGTAAGAATTAGCAAACGTAAAGAAATTTTAGGTAATTCGTCTAACGACAATTTTTAACTGTATTTAATGTAGAGATTTTTATATTTATTTCACTATACAATTTATTTTTATAATCAAGGAATAATATTGTGCAATTAATAAATTGTTACCACGTTTATGGAGAGTTTTATTGAAACTACCTTCCCCTGACTTATTTACAACAAGTTATTTTTTAAACTGCTGCTGTTTGCACGAATTGATTTGTTTTTAATAACTTCGTGCTCATCGGAAAAGGCTTTTCGATTTAATTACGACATTAATTATTAATTATTGTTTAAATATTCATCTCATTTCTCCGCAATCACCAATAATCACCATACTGAGACCCTAGAAATACCGAATATTCCGGGATTCTAGGTATTCTAAAAATTCTAAATATTCTAAAGTTTCTGAAGATTCTGGATACTTCGAGAGCTGAAGATTCTAAAAACTTTGAGGTTACGAGGATTCTGAATAATATAAAGATTTCAAAGATTCTAGGAATTCCAAAGATTCGAAAAATTCTATCGATTCTGGGTATTCTAAAGGTTCTGAAAATTCCGGATATTCCGAGACTCTACAGATTCGAAAATATCCAAATTTTCAGGATATTTTGAGGCTAAAGGTTCCAGAGATTCTAGAGATTCTAAAATTATCTCAAGATTTCCAAGATTTTGAAGATTCTGAAGGTTCCGAGTATTCCGAATAGTTCGAAGAAGACCAAAAAATTTGAAAACTTAAGGTTTCAAAGACTTCAACGGTTCCAGAAATTCAAAAAATTCGAGATATTTCGAGAGTTTAGAAATTCTAGAGATTGTAAAGATTCTAAAGATTTCGGGGGTTTTTAATAATTATTCTGATAATTATGAATGCAGATACTGAAGATTCTAAGGATTCCGAAAATTCCGAAAATTCACAGTATTTGGAAAATTGGAGATTCCAAAAAATGTGAAGATTTTGGAGATTTCGAAGATTCTGAAAATTTCAAAGATTTAAACATTTCCAGATATTTCCGAAATTTCATGTATTACGTATATTCCGAGAGATTCCAGAAATTCCAAATATTCCGAACAATTCTGGATTCTAGAGATTCCAAAGATTCTGAAGATTCTAAAGTTTCTGAAGAATCTGAATATTTCGAAGACTGAAGATTCCAGAAATTCTGAAAAATTGAGAGTTCTTGAAGAATATAAAGATTCTAGGCATTCCAAAAATTCGAAAAATTCTGAAGATTTTGGAGATTCTGAACCTTTTGAAAATTCCAAAAACTGACAATTTTGAGAATATTTCAAAAGCTAAAGTTTCCAAAAATCTCAAAAATTTTAAGATTCCGAAGATTCTGAGACCAGCAAGAGCAGATTCCCCTCTTTTCAGTATACACCCCCAATTTCTGGCCAAAAAATATACACGTTAGCCGTTTTCATTTCTCGGAGCAGTTTTTTCGAGAAAACACAGATAAATGAAAACCTCGGCACCTCCACCAAACACATCTCAGGTCTGAAAATCTCTCATCTCAATGTCCAAAGCATAAACAATAAAATTGACGTGTTAGGCACTTATCTTGATCAAAACATGTGTTCCGTCTTCTGTGTGTCGGAACACTGGGTAACACAGAAGATCCTATTGGAAACCATTCATCTACATGGATTTACTCTGGCTACGTCCTTCTGTCGCCAGAAGCATATACACGGAGGCGTATGTATTTTCTTAAGAAATGAAGTGAAATATCGCGAACTAGATGTAAATGCTTTTTGTGTGGAGCTACATGCTGAGTTTTGTGCTGTACATTTACAAACTTTAAACTGTCTTGTTGTGACTGTCTATAGATCAACAAATGGTGATTTTGAAATTTTTTTAGATAAATTTAATCAACTCATTGAACATTGCTTCAACAGATGTAAAAACTTAATCATATTGGGTGACTACAACATTGAGTTTCGACTTAACTGTATCTCCAAAGCACGTATCCGAGATATGCACAGAGACATGGAAAATTTATTAAACGAACATGGTCTTACCTATACAATCACAGAGATAACGAGAATCGAGTCATTGTCTTGCGTTGATAACATATGTACAAATCTAAGAGCCTGTGACTTTACCACCCTCGTTGAACACCCCTTTATCTCAGATCATTCTTGCACGTCTATAACATTAAAAAATATACATGTGAGGGAGGATGACTCAGAGAAAGTGTGGGTAAAGAAAATCACACACAAAACGCTTCAGCAATTCAGTGCCTCTTTTGAGCTGGAAATTGGTGAGCTAAATAAGACAAAACATGATGATATAAATAATCTTACTTCTTGCTTACAAGAAAAATTAGAAAAACTTAGCAATACCCATTTCCCGTTAACTAAACTTAACGAAATCAATAAACAACCTATCAAATGGTATAATGAAAATCTTAAAAATATGAAAAACACATTAGACAGCCTTGTCACAATATACACAGTAACTAGATTGGACTGCGATAAAGCCGCTTTGAAAACATATAGGTCACTTTATCGAAAGGCTATTGCTGAAGCAAAAAAAACTGCCTATGGAAATTTGTTAATCAACTCGGATAATTACAATAAAACGGCGTGGAAGTTAATAAACTGGGAAAGAAATGTTACTAAAAAAAGGACTGATGTATGCGGAATATCGAGCACTGAGTTTAACAGGTTTTTTGTAAATACTGCTCAAACTATTATTGATTCGTTACATACGAAATCTGCAAATTCGGAAACAAATTTAGTTGAAAATCAGTCATCTTGTTTTTTCCAACCTATTTCTATAGAAGAAACAGTCTGGTGTATACGTCAATTAAAAAATTCAAAGTGTCCCGATATTTATGGCATAACCAGTGGCATGATAAAAAACGTAGGTGAAGTTAGTGCCCCATTTCTCACAGATCTTTTTAATGATTGCTTGAGCAAGGGCATTTTTCCTGATTGTCTTAAAACCGCAAAGGTACTACCTATATTCAAAAAGGGTGATCCCTCATCTATCACAAACTATAGACCTATCTCCATCTTGCCGGTTCTAAGCAAAATATTCGAAACGATGATAAAAAATAGATTGCTTTCGTTTTTTGATAAACATAACATCATATCAAAACATCAATATGGGTTCATCAAGGGACGCTCTACTGTAAAAGCTGTTGCTAACATAGTCAGTGACATAGTAGAAGGTTTAAATGAGGGGCTTGATTCGCAAATTACCTTGTGTGATCTAAGCAAAGCTTTCGATTGTGTAAACCACAATATTCTGTTGGGTAAACTATCTAAATATGGCGTCAGGGGTAAACCTCTTGAGTTGTTGGTAAGTTATCTTACTAACAGAACGCAGTGTGTCATCGTAAACAGTGAACAATCAACTTTTCTTAAAATTAAACATGGCGTACCACAAGGTTCAATTTTGGGACCGTTTCTATTTACGGTATATATAAATGATCTTCCCGACGCATTGGATCCATCAATTAGTACCCTGTTTGCTGATGACACTAGCGTCTTAAATAGAGGTCACAACAATGAGGACCTTCTACAAAAGAGTAGATGTGCCATAGAAAAAGCCACCTTATGGTTTGCAACAAACATGCTTAAGCTAAATACGGATAAAACACAATATCTATTAGTGTCCTCGAATTTGCGAAAGCGGAAGGGTGACTCGGTAATATTGCTTGGTATACGAATAGATGATGGGTTAACCTGGTATCAACAGGTAAATGATCTTGCGAAAAAATTATCATCATGTATCTATCTAATAAGAAGGCTCAAAAGATGCTTGCACCATAATCTATTAATTACAGCATATTATTCGCTCTTTCACTCTCACATGACCTATGGGGTTGCTCTTTGGGGTGGCTCTTCACATGCCATCAAGATATTTAAATTGCAAAAACGAGCACTAAGAATTATAGGCAATGTAAAACATAGGGATTCTTGTCGACCTCTGTTCAAAAGCTTGGAAATTTTGACGCTACCGTGTGTATTTATGATTTCTCAATTAATTATTGGAGATACAAGAGTTGAAAAACAATTTTGTTACACATGCACAAATCCACTCACATAACACAAGGAACAAAAATCAAATGGTGCCACCTAAACATAAATTAGAGATCACAAATAAAAATACACATAACATACATCTATATAACAAAATCCCCACTGAGTGGAAAACACTGACACAGTCTAGATTTAAACAAAAAATAGTTCAATATATGAAAGAAGGGGCTTTCTACACTATAAAAGAATTTGTTGATAGTCTACGTTGATTGTATTTTATTGTATTTGTTGCCATATGTGTGAAATTGTATGTATGACAAAGAAGTCATAACCTATTCTGTACAAGACAGAAAAGTGTTGCATTAAATCTTTTTTTTTTTTTTTATTGACAAATGCATGTACTGATATGTATAAAGCATGAAATAAACATCTTATCTTATCTTATCTTATCTTATCTTATCTTATAAAAGTTCCAAATATTCCAGAATTTCTAGAAATTTCAAAAATTACGGATATTCCAAGCCTCTAGATATTCCAGAAATTCTAAACAATCGAAAGATCTGAAGACTCCTAAGATTCTGAATATTCTGAGTACTTCGAACGCTGAAAATTCCAAAAAATCTGAAGATTTCGAAGATTCTGAAGAAAATAAACATTTCAAAGTTTCTAGATACTTCAGAAATTTCAAATATTCCTGATATTCTGCGACTTCAGAAATTCTAGAAATTGTAAAGATTCGAAAGATTCTAGAGATTTTGAATGAAGATTGAAGATTCTGAATGAAGATACTGTAGAAGAATTAATGAAGATGTAGAATTAAACATGAGGTAAACTGTTTGAAATTTTTTAATATCGTCAGAAAATTTACAAAATAATGCTGTACCAACAATTATACAGTAAGGTGTTTTTAAATTCTAATTGGTGGTAAACAGTGTTTTCTCACACGTGTGACTATGAAAATTTTCAATAAACGTGTTCATCCTATTACGAGTAATAAGTAATATCTTTGAAAAAGAGGGTGAGAAGGTAGTGTTCAAAATTAAAGACGACTTAATAGGTAAATGTTTTACAAACTATCATGATTAAACATACGGCTACAAGCAAAAAGCTTTCAGAATCGACCTTAGACCCTTCACACTGTATAGGTT